TTTGGGTAAGGAGCCTCGGATCTTTTAAACGCTTCTCGAAAAAACGGCCCTCAAATTTAATATTCGATCAATATTAGAAAAGCCCAAAAACAATTAAGAGTCCGCTGGTTCTTTCAAAACAGAAACGGCTTTGTTTAACACATTTGGAATCCCTTTTTATTCTTTTATCGCAATGATTTGATAAAATGTCATTGGAAAAAGTGATTCGAAATCAAAGTGCTTTTAGAAAAACAGAAAGCTTTTTTCTCAGGGTGGCTCTTAGCCACTGCCACGTGTGCCATACCATGGCACTAGAGATTGAGCCATGGCATGGCGTGGTTACGAATAGACCTGCCACTGTGCCATCATGAAAACTATTTTTAAAATATACATTAATGCAAATAAAAGTAGCATGGCACATGGCAATTGCCCCTTGCCATGACACTTGCGAATGTCCGTGGCACTTCCTGTCATTTTATTTACTTTAAACGCTAGCCCTAGCAAGCGCTCATCCAATCGGATCACAGCATTTTGTGCCATGGCGTGGTTAAGAGCGACCCTCAGTTAAGCGAGCACTTTTCAACGTCAGACTTAAAAGCGACATCAAAGCTCCTATTGCTTTTTTTTAAGATGCCGTTTTCGAAAGCGCTTTTTTGTAGAGTACTTAAATTAGCTCTTCAAAAAAGCACAACAACATTTTTTAGGTGCTACAGGGCCAAAGCAGCGCATGTTTAAAAAGTATAAATTAAAGCAGTATGTAAGCGGGCACTCGCTGTTAAGGTCGAGTTGATTCAGACTCCTTACGCTGATGGTACCGTCGTCGCGCAGTGAAACAGTACCAGTACCCAACACGAGCTAAGCCAAATTAGTGGCGGGGCAGCGAATCGAGCGCCTTGTTTTTGCTGACTGGGCTTATGTCTCCAGCCCATTTCTTTAATTAAACATAATTTTGACGTTAGTCCAGCCGATTTGTCAGTGGTGCAGTTTATCGTACCGGAACGATGGGACTGAGGTTGGTCTCCCAGCTAACAACGCTGTGTACAGCGGGGACCATAAAACCGAACACAAGCACAAACGCACTCGTGATGTGGCCTATCACGGCATCCCCGAGCTCCATAGGTGTGTGTGGTCTGTACAGCATTCTCTTGAAGTAGTGTTCTTCTCTTCGGAGTCTTGTTGGTCTTGGCGGGAATTGGTAACTGAGTCTGAAGACGGCAGCTTTGTGAATTAGTACACGTCGACCTTCTGGATCGCGGCGTTCTTTTGCGTCCCGTAGCATAGAGACTGCATTGCGGGACGCTCGACTGTGTCTCAGCTACGGACATCAACTTCAGCTTACGTGGAAAACTGTGAAGTCACTTTTGAACTTCAAGCAAACGCGTCTCTCCAGACGCATCGTTTTCTCGTCGTCACGACAGAAGTGTCGTGTACGGGGTAATAATACCTGGTGGTGGTGTGTACACTGTATATGTAGCGTGTGGTGTATCGCCATAGAGTAGATCTAATGCGACACAATGGTTTCTTCTTGTTAACGCAAGCACAAGGCCTCTCAAAATTTTCACATATGGAAGTTGTCGCTTTTGGTAAATTATTAACGCTTATATCTACCACATAAACATGAAAAAAAAGGTGAAAGGCGTTGGCGAAACAGAATGCAATAAACTTGATCGCGGATTGCCACCATTCGCGGGACCACGGAAGGGCAACATGCTGCACACGTCACTGTGTCAGGCGTTTCGTCGTCGGCAACGCCTACTGTATCGGAGATAGCTCCAGGACCGGTCAGTTGACGGCGATTGACTTTTTAGCCTGGATCGCTCGACCTAAAGAGCCTTTATGAAAAAGCGAGAGTCATACGACATACTTTCCCGAGGTGTACCAGTTGGCACGACTCCGACGTGGCACTTGTTTCAACGCGCTTCAAAATGGTCGCCGTCGTCACCTGTTCGCTTCGCGTCCGACGACACGATGGTCCACCGAGACGGCACTACCAACGCAAAAAACGAATTCCCATATTTTGTTGAAGAAGATTTTTTTTAAGCATCGCAGCAACAGTCACAACTTAAAGCGATGATGACGCAATGTGTATATCGCTTTGCTAAATGAACGATCTTCTTGAAATCTACAAAAGAGGCGATTGGCAAGTGGGTTTTTCGCAGGCTGAAGTTGACGTTAATCATTTCTATGCTGCTATAATAATTACACATGCTCATCACGAATGGTGGTCAATGAAATGGGTGCCTTTGAGACTCAGTTATTACCTATTTGCGTCATCCAGACTAAGACCAACAAAACTTGAGAGAAAAGCATAAGAGAATGATGTACAAGCCACACACACCCATGGAGCTCGGCGACGCCGTGCTGGGTCAGATCACCCTGGCGCTTGTGTTTGTGTTCGACCACATGATTCCCGCAGTGCACAAAATCGTCAGCTGGGATACAGACGACGTTGATCTGGGCCCGATCATCCCGGTATGAAGATCATCTAGTGAATCAATAACGCGGATGCGATATTCTAAGATGTTTTTATCCATGCAGGAATGGAGTGGCACTATTTGGCCGATCACAAGCAAGAGCATGATGCCCACGACGACCGAAAAGGCCTAGCTATTGAGTCGCTACTGCTGTTGCGCAGCAACCTTCAACTTCCTACCCCGATTGTG